CTGTGAATCACTGTTGACAGACACTTACCTGGAATATTTTGTTTTCTGTGCCTGGATTTGTGAAATTTTTAAGTAGGAAAAATAGAAAGCCTAGGATATTTTCTTAACAAAATGGTCAAAGCAGTTGCAGCATTTGTCTGCTGCATTAAAAACATTTTTTTTGTTCCATGTAAGTGCAAGAGGTAAGAGAAACAAAGTGAAAACAAAATGGTTGTTGTAGGTTTGGGAACACGGCCAAACAGCCCAAAAACCTACAACAACTATTGGATCCCGGCCGTGAAAGCTGTCGAGAATACATTGAACACAAAATGTCAGACAGTGCAAGGAAGATGTTGACAGTAGGTGTATTGCAACACCATGTTGAGTACAAATAAGTACAAAATGCACTTGCTACTTTATTTTTTTATTTTTAACAAGGGTGATAAAAAGGGGAAAGGGAATTGAGGTTAAGAGGGAAGAGGAGAAACATTAACACACTAACATCCATTCTATACATGTTGCCATATCAAAATTCCAAATTACTCTTTTTACTATTTTCTGCCTTCCAGATTTAAGTTCTCATTTCAATGTATGCTCTTCAAAAATGCACTTGCTACTTTTAACAAGCTGTTGGTGACAGTAGGCTGGCATAGCAAGAACAATAGCTTAAAGCAAGTATGGTGGATTTTAGCAGAGCTGAAGGCCATTTTTCAGATTTCGCAGCAATCTCAGGGACAGGGCTAAAGGGAGAGGGGTAAGAAGTTATTTTTTGTAATTTGGGCAGAGGTTATTTTAAAAAAACATACAGTCTTATGGCTGTGTTTTTATGGATATGTTTTTAACACATATATTGAAAAATAGTTTACCTTTTTTTAAAAAATGTTTATTTTAATTTAAAAAGCTCCTTTGTATCATCTAGCACAGTGGTTCCCGACCTTGGATCCCCAGATGTTCGTGGACTAAAACTCCAGAAGCCTTCACCATTTGTTCTGTTGGCCAGGTTTTCTGGGAGTTGCAGTCCAAGAACATCTGGGGACCCAAGGTTGGGAACCACTGATCTAGCAGACTCTTTTTATATATTATTTATTCAAATCATGTATATGCCACCATTCTCCCTATAGTGGATCCAAGGCAGCTCACAACAGAGAAAATAAGAAATTTAAAAACACTATATAAATATCACATTTAAAACAATTAAACATACATCAAATCCAGCATAAAAACAATAAAAACAAACATACAAAAAAACCAAGTATAAAAACAATTGAAAAACATTGAAAAACCTGTATGTAAAAAACAAGCATTCCTGATACAATTTACGCTTAAAGGTCTGCCTGAAGAGGAATGTCTTTGCCTGACAATGGGAAGACAAGAGGGAGGAGGCCAACCTGGACTTTTAGACTAGACATATTTGGGTGTGTGTGAATTAATAACCTTTATTATTTTTATAACTCCAATACAGATTTATAACAATTTACAAAAAGTGGAATGTTCCATTTCTTTCTCATTCCAGCACTTCACAAACATTGCCCATAACTCATAAAATTTATGCTTACCTTACACATAATTTCTTTGCATCCTTTGATAATGTGTCAATTTAGTTGTCAATGGACTGCCCAGATGTAATGAAAGCAGTGATTTATAGAAGAGGACTCTTTTTCTTCCAATTTGTTACTATAGCCATATTGGCAGCAACAAGTAGACTTAAGACAAATTCAGTATCTGATGATACTGTCACATAAAATGTGCAGAATGAATCCTTAATACAGTGCTGTCTTGACTTATGAACTTAATCTGTATCGAAATGGCGTTCATAAGTCAAAATGTTCGTATGTCAAAGAACCATTTCCCATTGAAATGCATGGGAACAGGATTAATCCATTCCAGCATTTCAAAATAATACCAACATAAAAATAAACAGAGCAAGTCCCATGCTGGGACTTCAAAAAAAAAATCACCAAATACAAAACAACACCGACCCTCAATCCCCCACCACCAACAAAACAAAAAACTTTTTTAAAAAGCAGCACTTTTTGCGCTTCCGTCGCTGTTGCGATTGCCATGGCTGGCAGGCTTGAGCCTGGTTGGGGTGCTTTGGCTGCTCGCCTCCCACTTGTTCCTCGCCATCCTCCACTAACCAGTGCCACCGCTGGTGCCTGACACTGGTTGCATCTCCAGAACCGGCACCAGTGGCTGCTTGCCGGGGTGGCCGTGTCGGTCCTTGGGGCTCCTCGCTGCACAGGCTAATGGCGAGAAATTCAAATGGCGGAGGCCTCCCGGGCTCTGCCGCCGCCACGAGGCCTCTCGGGCTCCACTGCCGGATCACGGATGGTGATCATGGAGCCCAGCCAGTGCAGAGCCGGGCTGCTCTTCAGGGCTCTTCACCCGATGCCGCTACCGCTGCTGGGTCTCGTTCCTGCCGGGCCAAGGACTGACTGCTGCTGGGTCAATGGCGGGCAGCACCAGGCGAAGAGCCCCAAAGAGCAGCACCATCCGTGATGCAGAGCCGGGCTGCTCTTTGGGGTTCTTCACCTGATGCCGCCCACCATTGACCCAGTAGCAGTCAGTCCCTGGCCTGGAGGGAACGAGACCCAGCGGTGGCATTGGGCGAAGAGCAGCCCAGCTTTGAACCCGATGCCACCCGCCATTGACCCAACTGCAGTCAGTCCCTGGCCTGGAGGGAACAGGACCTGGCGGCGGCAGCATTGGGCAAAGAATAGCCCAGCTCTGCACCCGACGTTGCCCGCCATTGACCCAGCAGCAGTCAGTCCCTGGCCTGGAGGGAACAGGACCCGGTGGTGGCAGCGGCACTGAGCGAAGGCCATTGACCCAGCAGCAGTCAGTCCCTGGGCTGGAGAGAACGGGACCCGGTGGTGGCAGCAGCACTGAGCAAACAGCTCTGCATCAGCCTGGCTCCGTGATGACCATCCGTGATGTAGAGCCGGGCTACTCTTTCAAAAAACAAACAAAAAATAAAACATTGCAAACCCCTGGAGTAAAAAAAAAATCCCTGACCCCCCGCTCTAACCATTGGGGCAAAAGAGCTACAAAGAAGCAGCATCTTCGCCATCAGTGGTTAGTATACAGTATTTGAATTTCCTGCCCCTTTTCCCTGCCTTTTTCCATTCGTAAGTCAAAGCTCCGGCCACAAGTCAAAGCAAAATTTTCTGGCCAGAGCTGTTCATAAGTCAGATTGCTCGTTGGTCAGGGCGTTCGTAAGTCAAGGCACCACTGTACTGTAGCTGATGGTCTTACAGTTCTTAATGATGTTACTTTAGTAGATAGGAGACTAAAGTAATGCAGTGGTTCATTGCCAGTTTTCTGGTGTTTAAATTTATATTAGATAACCTGTTGTCACAGCTGTTTCAGACTGGTATTCAATAGGGAATAGCTTGTACAAAAACCCTGTGAAAAGGAAGAACTGTTTGCAGCATGGGCTGTAAGTCTTTGATGGTATGCTATAATATTCAGCTCTCTACTTTTGACTGAGAACTGAATATGGTAACAAAAGGTCAATATAAAATGGAGCATTTAGGAGCCACCCTGAGAGAAGAGAGTGAGAAATGCACATTCTTTTTCCTTTTAAAGTACATTAACACTAAAAAGCTAGTGTCCTTTTTGAAATTGCCACACATGTAGTGGCAGTCACTGAAGCAGAATCTGATAATTGGTGAGGTGCCTGCTACTTGCCAGTTATGTGAACAGAGAAGCAACACGAAACTTTCCATTTAGCCAGTGTGCATTTGTAGCTGTTGCATACAGCTATCTTGAACAAAATATTGGCCAAAATTGTCATAAGAATGACTAGTCTATCCATGACAGGTTTTCATCTTTCTTCTCTTTCCTTTGGTTAGTTTTACTCTCAGATCTCTTTTCTATATTTCTTTCACCCTGTGCTGATATTAAGCTCTCCTTATTTCAATAGGTCTCACTGAAGCTCTCATGGGTGAAACAACAGAAACTGTCATAATCAGTTTGCCAGTATTAATTGTGCTTTTAATTCTGTTATTGTTGAAATGGACAAAAAATTCTGGAAATTCCCATAGATAAGAAGCTTGTTCTTAATCATTATCTATTTTGCACCTGTTTTGTTTTAATACACATTAAAATTGTTATTTTGTTTTTAACACAAATCCCTCAGTGTATTTGAAGCTTCCAATGCCATTTCCAGTCACTAGGTGGCGGGCATTAGTGCATAGGTCTGTAGTTAGTGCAGGTACAACATACTGCATTCATGCTGAACAGTCATGCATTGCTATATATGATTTCAGTCTGAGTCTCAGCTGTAAAACCCTTGCCTGGTCGAATCAGAAGCAAGAAAATCCACACAGAGAAAAGGAGAAGTTAATCTGCAAATTCTTGGAGCATTACTGATAGATTTGACCTTTCAAGAGACAAAATTACATAATGTGAATTGGGTTGCCTCTACTTATTTGGATGTTTTCTACAGACCTTGGAAATACTACCCCCCCTCTTTTTTGTCAACAGTCTCCAGAATGCACTAGGGAATTTGGCCAGTGGCTGAGCTGGCTGAGGAATCTGGGAAATTGTGTCCAAAAGTTTTTCCAAATGGTAGTATTCTTTTATAATTGTAATAAGTAACAATACAGTAATTTTTTTAAAAAACACAGATTTCCTACTGAAGGCATAAACGTGAATTAGAGTCCCTTTTCTATATCATCTTCTGATGTTGTATGGTGTATTGATTTCATTGCTGTTGTAGCTTTAGGACACATTGAAAATCCAGAATTGCATCCTGTTAAAACTATTTTTCTATCAGAGACTGAAATTTCTAAAGTCATGTACAAGAAAAGTGGCATTTTTTCCTTATGCATGTGTGCATGCAAATAAAAAAAAGAGAACACTGTGGAACTATCACCATATGAAAATATCACCAGATATGCTTTCTCTCTTTTATCAAGATTGCATGATTGTGTTGCAAATACAGTATTTTTATGATATAGAAATAATGGGCCATCACAGTTCTTTCACCATCTTGTATCACTGCTTTATTGTATTAGGCTAAAGCACTGCGAGAGTTGATAGAACTTCCCCATGCCAACTCGGATCCACTTCTCTTGGCACTGAACTGATTGGATTCACAGATTGATAAACTATTGGTTAGAGAATGTAGATCGGAGAGAATTGGCACAACGGAGACTCATCTTCAGCCTCTTGCAAGCAACCTCTAATGTCCTGCATTCAGAAAGCCAATCAATTCTTCATGAATAACTTTGATGTTTATAAGCCAGAATTGACTTTAAAATATAAACAACCAAATGCCTGGGTAAGGGACTTCCAGGAAAACTCTTACAAGGGGGAAAAATCTGTGGCCCAACTAAATTGCTTTTATTTTTGAAGAATGCATTCTTTCTACAGAGGGACTAGGCACAATATCAGACCCAGGCTTCATGGAATACAATTGCAAAAAATACTGCCGCCAATTTGGGAAAAACAGAAGGGAAGAGAGACATGGCAGGGAAAGGGCTGTGGATGCTCAGATGTGTTCCACAGTCTTCAAGGAATGAAAGAAGCATCAGCTCTGGTAACTATAAAATCCTATTTTGAAGATTAACTTCAGTTACTTCCATCCTGACAAAGGGAAGAAGGAAGCTAATACTGTGCTTTTTCACATTATTAAAGGAAGATATCAAGCTGTATACTACAAATGAAATGTATTCTATCTAGTCCAAGCACACTCAGACTATTCTGAGAATTAACAATCCAGTCCTGCGGTTACTTGGAAGTAAATCCTATTCACTTCAGTGGAGTTAATACTGAATCTACACAAGTTGACAGCAGATCCATTCATTTAAATCCAGGTCTAGTTAAAATGTCAAGGGGAGGGTCTCATTTTAAATGTAAAAAATCACATGCACTTGGGAACTGCTACCCCCCCTCATGTGCTGCTTGCGCTTCTTGTAGTCTTCCTCACCCTTGACCCCAAGAGCTTTTCTTGGGGACATTAGTGGCATAATGTGGAGGGTTCCGTTTATTTTCTCTGAAAAATCTCCATCTTGTTTACTTACAATTGGAGCAGACCTGAGTTTAAACAGACAGGCTGTCACATGTAGCTTGAGTTTTGCTTTCAGGTAAGTAGGCTTAGAAATGCAACAGAGTTTGCAGACCAGTTTATAATGATTGATCAGATGGTATACAAATATTGATGTCATGACAGTGAAGCTGATGCTTCATACTGAAGTGTTTCAAACTCTGCAGAAGGAAGTCTTCAATTTCTCCTTACCTTCTAGGACTTAAATGTGAGTGATGTTGCCTTGCAGCATAGGCGTAAAGTATTCTATGTTCATAATCTATAGGAGACAATAATGGGGCCAAGATTTTGTCTGAATGTCTTCCTGAGTAAATCCAGGTATTGTGGATCATTATATGGGTCTCCTATGGATCATTATTTGCCTGTATCTCTGTGATTGGATGTGGATTTTTTTTCTATTTTTGGCTAAGGGTGTACTGTAATGTCAATGCTGATTTCTTGATATTTCATACTATTCTATGAAGAGAGAATTTTAAAATGTATTTTGAAATGTTTTATTTCTGTCAGGTCAATGTATGGTATTGCATTATGTTAATACCAATAAAATATATAGAGTTATTTATATACAAATGCATATATTTCCCTTTTTGTAGATGAGAAAGGTATGTTTTTTCACAGGTGAATAATGCATAGTGTCTGCTTAACAGCAGTTTGGAAATTCAAATAGCTTTAATGTGTGTGTGATTTTTTTAAAATAAGTAAATAAAATCCTGTACATTGTCGACCAATCCACAGGAAATTCATTATAATGCATTATTGAACCTTGTATAGGTCTGTCTAAACATTTTACTATAAATTGAGTTTTGATTGCTTTACATGAGCACAAATTTAATTCACCTGTTTGGCAGAACATATTAATTATATACGTATATAATTAATATGTTCTATTAATTAGATATTCAGCTGATTATATACAGCTTAAACAATAGCCTTTGGACATGATCCATTCTTAGTTAAGTATTTGAGTCTTGTTGACTTAAATAGGCAAGTTAAGTTCAGACTTAAATTTCTCCCAGTGAAATTAAGCATTTAAATTTGGCTGGATTAAACTATTTAAATAATTTTGTTGGATAGAGATACAAACATTATCGTACATTTCAAATTAGTCATATGTTCAGAGAACTCACTGTTTTATGTAATTCTTGCTATTTTGGTGCTCAGCAAAAGCAGGATTCACCTTTTATGTGCAATTCCACATGAAGTACTTTTTCCTCTTTAATAAATCACTGCTAGTGCACAAAGATTTTGCAAACTGAAAGATTTATCACTAAAATCTTTTTGGAGTGGCTTGAAACATTTATGGTCTATCATGAAATTCTTTACTTAGAAATAAACTGTTGTACAAATGATTTAGAGAGTTAAAACATGACATTAGAATTTGTAATATCTTGAATGCTATTTTAGATTTTCAGTGATGCCTCATTTGCTACACTTTGCTGCAAGCTAAATTGAGCCAATATACTAGCACCATTGTGTACACTTCTCCCTTCAACAACACTGGGATTAGGGGTGCCAGACCCCTGTGTAGTTCAAAATCCATGTACAGTTCTTATAACCCCAAAATGTAATTACAAAGCATAAAGTGTTTATTCATAGACAGACACAGAGAGAGAGAGAGAGAGAGAGAGACTCCCCCAACCCATGTCAGTCTCCTGGCATGCTTCAGCACCCTGCTCGGAGGCCATGCCAGGAGAGGGGGCTGGTCGGGCCACCAGCATTTGATCAGGGACCAGCGCACTGCCAACAACGAGGGCCTGAGTAAGTTGAAGATGCACCTTTCTCAGGGCAGTTCCTGGAGATGAATAGCAGCCTAATATCTATTGAATATTTATTTATTGAAAAAAAATCCATTCATAGTCAAAGCCATGCTGCTCTGATCCATGCAATTCAAAGAAGAAGTGCATTCAAATTTCAAAACAGATCCTTCATAAGGATTGAAGGATCTGTTTTGATCCTGTTTTGATCCTTCAAGCGTTGAATGACAGTTTCATAGAGGTAATCGGAAGGCAGCCTCTGACATTAACTACACTGAATTTTATCAAACTTATTTATCTGTTCAATTTATATGTTGCCCATCTGGCCAAGGAACACAATACAAACTCCTTTGTATTGCTAAAAATAAAGTTGGTAAAAAGCTCTCTTTTGGTAATACAGACAGGTTTTAGAAATGTGTATTGCTTTCTGTTTCACACATACAGTCTTTTGGTAATACAGACAGGTTTTAGAAACGAAATACAGTCGTGCAGAGCATTGCTTTCTGTTTCACACATACATTTCACATCTGTAACTAGACTGAGTAGTGGTGTTGTACTGCTGTCTTTTCATGAAACATTTTCTTGGCCAAGGTGGTCAGCTAATGATTCAGAGCACACACTGAAGCAGTAAACCTAAACTCATTGACGCAAGAATGGGGAATATCAGCAACCATCATTCTTATTCAAAGTATCTCCTACATCTGAATGTAGATTTCAAACATATATGGAATAGCATGGTGCTGTTTTGATGGCATGCATATGTGTCACTTGAAACATCTCTTTGGTTAGTTAACGTAAGAAACCCAACTTCCATGATGGTAATTCTGAAGCAAACTTCAGCTTGTGATGCTCAGCCGTTCATTGCTTCCTTGGGGTGTAATAATATATCACGGTACTGTACTGTTTTAGGTAAAAGTATATACAGTACATTTGATTTGTGAGCCTTCTTATCTAAAGTACAAGGAGCTTTCATCTTCCAATCAGTATATGGTAGTTGTCATTGTTTGTAAAGATAATCACTTGGCTTCTTCTTGCTCTGTGAATGGCAGTAGCTTGCCTTCGCAGAAAAAGGGTTGCACTCATGGAAAGATCTTTTTTGTGAACATGACCCTCCTTTGGTGAAAGGAGTGAAAAGTTAGGGTCTTGGTCAGTATGTATATGACAGGGAACTTGGATATAATTCAATAAGTAATTCTTTAAAATCTGATTGCTTAATTTGGCTGAGTGATTTAACGTTAGCTCAGTGCTTTAGGTATCTGGCTGCAGATACTCCTAGGAGTAGAGCAAGCCTCTGTGGCCTTGGGCAAGCTGCACAGGCCGGGGCGCACCAGAGGAAGGGACTGGTAAACCACTTCTCAGTTCTCTACCTGGAAAACCTTGAACAGGGTTACCATAAATAAGAATTGACTTGACAACAGATGATGATTATTATTATTATTTGAAATCCAGTTCTTCGAAATGCAATTCTTTGAAATCCAGTGCCTATTGTATATATGATCACAGATATTATTTTGGGAGAAAAGGACATAGCATAAGTCTGTTCCTGCCTCTTTCTTTCATATATCATTTTAAAAAATCTGTATTAATATCCAACATTGCAGTATATTTCACAGTAAAGCCCACTGATTCAATGGGGCTCATATATGAGTATAGGATTGCAGCCTTCACTTCACAGAGCCCATTTTTTCTGGATCATCCAGCACAGACATTTTCACATCTGTAAGGTAACCCACCATGGTTTTTAGAACCAGGAGATGGATGACATTTACAAAAACATCAAGTTATATAATAATAAGTATATACTGCCACAGTGCCTGTGCAAAATACATATTCATTTTTGAAAATTATTAACTGTTAATTTTGCCATCTGGTGATGTTTCAGTGCAAATTGCTATAGGGATCTTTGTGTAATTTAGTTAATAATTACTTCATGGATTCAAAATGCTACCTTTTAAGAAAAATCATATTTATTTGCTTATTGCACTACCTCTTTGTTATCTGAGCAATCCCAATGTGTGACATTATGTATATTTACAGTGCTGCCTCAGCTTACGAATGTCCCTACTTACGAACATTTCGACTTACAAACAGCTCCATTTGCATAATTTTGCTTTGGCTTGCGAACGGAGCTTCAACTTACAAACGACAAAACTCAGGGAAGGCGGGGAAAGCACAGAATTTGAACTTTCAGTTAACCGTTGGCCAGCGAAGAGGTTGCTTGTCTGCTACCTCGCTCGCCCCAGTGGTTTGAGAGTGTGGATACTGAGAGAGACTTCAGACTGCCTACTGCCTGGTACTGTACTGTACTGATTGTATTTTCTTTTGGCTTTTTTATTTTTGACTTTCTTTTTTAAAACAGAGAGACTGCCTGTTCTGGGTGAGTACACTGTATTTACTGTACAGGGGTTTTATAGTTTGGGTTTGGGCTAGGTGGGGGGTTATATTTCTGTGCTCTGATGGGTCTTGCAGACCCTTTCTCTTTTTGTGTTGAGTCTATTTGCTGGAATAATGGTTGCTGGATTCTGTGGCTCCTAGGGTTTGTGTACTGTGGCATTTTAGTCTTTTGGATTTAAAATCAGAAAATTTTTTGCAGAGGTCTGGGCTAGGTGCTGGGCTCTGGAGTTTAGACTCAAGTCTTCCCCCCCCCCTTGTCTTCTCTCTTTGTGTCTTCTCTCTTTTTGTGCTTAAAAGCACAAACCTTTGTCTGAGGGGGTCTGTGTGCCCCAGTTATGACTTTCTTTCTTCTTTCTTCTTTTCCCCATTGTTCCCTCCCTCCCTCCCTCCCTCCTTTTCTGCCCTTTTTTTAACCTAAATTCATCTGAGATTTAAAAAAATTCTCCCCCTAGTGTTACAGGACAGATTAACCAGCTTTGCATTCGTTCCTATGGTAACAAATGCTTTGACTTAAGAACGGCGCCTCAATATAAGAACAAAAACAGCCGGAACGGATTAATCAGTTTTCAATGCATTCCTATGGGAAATGCTGATTTGACTTACGAACAACATTCCTGTATGCATTAAGTTCGTAAGTCGAGGCACCACTGTATAGAATATTAAATGCAAACCTTTCCCATTTGCTTACTAGTATGGAATAAAAGGATGCATTTTACTTACATATGTACGTAACTACTTACTTACATTGGCCACTCCAAATCAGTGCAAGGGATATATAATGTGACAAATGATACAAGAAAAGGATGTAGGTAGTTGGTGTGAGTGGCACAGATCAAGAAGAAAGAGTAACAGAAAAGCTTGTAAAATGAATTCCCAGGCTTTCATGCAGGCAGCTGTTCCCAGCTTGACCATCTCCGGGTGTATTAGACCTGTCTCCCCCCATGCATTCCCAGCCAACAAGTCTGTGGTGGTGGGATTTGTAGTCCATCCAGGAAAAAGTGACAGATTTGTATGGTAACTTTAATTTTAAAAAAAGGACTTTTGAAGACAACAATATCAAATGTGCCAGTATGCATTAGGCATGTGCCCTTCTCTATAAATCCCACTGTTTATTTCAAAAGTATTTAATTAACAAAGTAATTAATGCTAACTCAATGTGTTCAAATAATTTTCAGCACCCAACACTAACAATAAAATAATCTCCCAATTTTAATAGGTTACAGCAATTAATTTTCAAACCTAAAGTCCCAAGGTGTGGTGTGATATTTGCAATCAGTGGAACAGTATTCCTATCTGAGAGGAGATTGTATACAGGGAGTACATGTTTTATTCAGAGCTGGATGATTGCCCTGTAAGTCTCAGCCAACAAGTGCTGTTCAAATTTGACTTGTGACTAATGTAGCTAAGTTCAGCCATCCCCACCATTTGTCATTTAACCTTTTAGACAGCCTAGTGTGCCATGACTATGTCCCATGACATAGATACATTGCTAAAGGATCATTCATTATTTGTCATATACGTTTCCATAAGGACAGGATTATCCCTTTCAAAGTATATTTGCTATTAAGTGCGATAGAGAATAAAACAGTAATCACTTACCGTATGTAATTGTTTCCATAATT